CTACACAATACAAAATTTCATTGTTCCGTAATTAAGAATGTTTCTTTCAGATGCTAAATAGAAATTGGTGCAGACAATTTCTATTTCTAATAAACATTGTTTTTTAGGAAATTTTGTAAATAATTTAGAAATATATTATTTAAAATTTATTTATACAGAAAATTTTGAAACAGTATATAGTGCATATATAAATTTCTCAGAAAAACGTTAAATTCAATGTTTAATCAAGAAATTTGTAAGCATGCAACAAACTGTGAAGAACAGAAAATAATTTTTTTAATTTATTTTTCACATAATTGTAACTATATATATGTTTATGTTATATAAATATATATATACATACAGTATGTGCATACAAATAAATCTTTCCTTTTTTTTTTAATTAGAAAACTATTCTTAAAATAGTTTATATTTCAATAAAGATATGAGTGAAAATAATATTTTGAATTTCTTTGTTTAAAAACAGTGAAAATATTTAAAATTTTCATTTTATGTAGATTCAGAAATAAATAAATTGAACTGATGAAACAAATCATCATTTATTTTATATGATCTTTTCTAAACATCAAATATATAACAACTTTTTCTGAACTTGCAGTAGTACTGGAAAATGGCTATAATCTGGGAAGTTGCCAAAAGTCTACCAAATATTTTTTCTTGACTATCTACTTTGTTGCATTTTTGTTTCACTTACATTTGTGGCTAGAAAATAGAAGAGCATCAAACATTTAAGTGTTTATTTTACTGTCCTAAGTAATGTTTACTCAGCAACAACAACATTTCAACAAAATGCAAGTTGCACTTGGATGAATTTTGTGGCAGTGCCATGAAGATTTATATGAGACATATCAGTGATGCACTGCCATATCATATTGTTGCTCAATGGGTTGAAGCCTTTTGCTATGACAGGAGAGCAATGAGATTATGCATGGTGATGGCAATTCAATCACTGCAATAATGAACATATAAAACTATTTTGAGGTTATTGGAAAATGATTTTCAATAAATTTGCCAAGAAATAAATGCCAAAGTAGGAATTGCAGTTTCCAATGGGTGCCTCATGCTACAAAATGATGTGCAGAAATGGCAACAAATTGAAACTACTTGAATTCATATAGAGAATTACAAGCATGTAGGAGAATCCTTCCTTCATCAGATTATTGAAATTGACAAAATGTAGGCCAGGTCCTACAAACTAAAGTTGAAACACCAATCAAATGAGTGATAGTGCCAATCATCTTCATGCCTAAGAAACTGGCCAGAACCAAGTAAAGTTAGTGTTAATGATCATTGTAATAAATTTCCAAGAGGTCCACTTGTCTCTGTGTGAGACAGTAGGACAGACAGTTAATTAAAACTAAATACAGTAAACTCCCGATTATCCGGGCTAATGGTGGGGAGAGGTGGCATAGATAATCCGAACTATAATTATTTATTTCTAAAATACAACATGTAGATTCACCTTTTTCAAAGTTTTCAATTAACATTAGTTTTTGTTTTATAGTAAGTATGGCTTTCTTTCGATTATTAGGCATTTTAAGGGTACTTATCTGAAAATTAAAAAAACATCTTATTTTATATAATTTTACACTAAAAGTATTTGTGGAAGAGTTATTTGAAAAAATATTATGTATAATATGTATTATACATATGTACATATAATCAAATCTTAAATTGTAATACATATTATAACATGCAAGTAAACGAAACTTTGTATAAATGTACTCAATATCGTTTTCTTCTCTGAAAAGAAACGTCCGGCACGAAGGAAGCGGCCTAACTAAAACCAGTCCAGCTGACTTCAGATACCCCCCACCTGCTTCAAACATCTAAATACGAACACGTGCACACTTATAGGATATGTAAACATGAAAGCAAGCAACTATTTAAAAAATACATACAAATATAATTATTTTTTAAAAATTAAGTTCATGCACGGATAATCCACAAACCAGATAATCCGTGCACAGATAATTGGGAGTTTACTGTACTTCTTCCACTTCCTTTCCTTTTGACATCATCTTTATCCAGCAAATTCTCACAAAAGGACCCAGTTGCTATAATCGCATTAGGGCATCCAATTAACTTGCATGACAATGTGTGAAGTCATTCTCTATTACAAATGAGAACACTGCTCAGCATATGGAAGTGGGAGATACCATTTCCATCTAGTTAACAATGTCCTTTTTAGTATACTCATAAATGATAAACCAAAAGAAAACCATTCCATCACACCAGGAATCTACTCTATCCCACTGAAATGTCTTCATGGGAGTCACCTACCATACTTATCTGATATGAGTGCATGTGATGATCTTTTCTCAGAACTGAAAGAACTTCATAAGCAAGTGTTTCTGAGACATTGACAGTATCCTTTCTACCTGAAGGTATCATCTTCAGATACTGGCTAAAAATGATGATGCTGATGGTGTTTGCTGCCTCCCGTAAGTTTGGCAGGGTTTGTCCATAAAGGTGGATACTTTCATCAAAGGACTGTGACATTCGCATATTTTATTTTTGAATTAATATGTTACAACACTTGCCAATGCAAATAAAATAACTCTTGTATAATCATGAGTTATTTGTTATTTATAATATGAATATATCTTTGACATTAAATACAGGTGTATTAAAAGTTTTGCATTTAAATATATATTATGTTTACACTGCTGGCCATTAAAATTGCAACACCAAGAAGGAAAGCAAATAAAAAAAAGATATTTATTGTACATAAACAGTATGGCATGAAGACAAAATGATTAAATTTGCAAGCCGTTTGAGGGTTTACAGGGGTGCGAAATTAGTAGACACAGTTGCCACCCCTGGCAGCTAAAACGGCCCTTATCCNTAAATGTGCTGGCAGACTGCACTTTATAAATGGGTCTGTGAATGCTAAGTGTGTTAAAAACATCTTACTGGCCAAGCTGATTGTAACAGTCATGGAGAAATTTTGTCATTTGAAATCCTTTATCTTCCAGAACAATTCTGCAATATGTTGCCATGTCAAGATGTTGAGTTCTTGTGAGTAATTTGTCCTTTATGATTTGTTAGCATTATTGTCACTTAAACTGATACAACAAATTATTGTTTAGGTAAAAAAAAATACTACAAGAGGCTCAGATCAGATGCCTGAGCTTGCCAGATAATGGACCTGATCTCAACACTGGCAAGAACTGCTAACATTATGGACACAAAAATTTTGAAAAATAAACAGCAAGTTCCAGATAGTATTAGTAGAGTTTGGTATCACAATCTTTGTATAGAATAGTTGAATAAATTCATCCACTCTATGCCAGAGTGCTGCAAAGCTGTTATTAAGGCTCAAGATGTTCATCGTATATTGGGATCATCTTCAATGAAAAATATAACTGTTTGTTTTTTAGTCCTATTTATGGTGTGAATGCTTTCCTTTTTTTTTTCCATCTACAATTGTGAATGGCAAGTTCTTGTGACAGTGCTCATTGACAATATTGGTGAGGCTGTAGTGTGAAATAACACTTAAATTTAATGTAGCATTATATGTAATAAATTGTATTTTTTTGTTTATTATTGTTGGGTTTTCTTCTGTACTACATATGTTATCATTACAAATCTCTATCATAGTCTTAAACATACTGTTTTGCACATCTGTCAAATGGGTTTTAGTATAATGGTAACTATTTATAGATAATGCAATTTCTATGGCCACTACTGTATGTATAACTTTAATATTAAAATTTGTAAATAGGTTTTGGCTATCTAAAATTCAAATTTCTGAAATCTGATGCAATAAGGCAACTTTCCTATATTGAGTACTTTGATTAAAACAAAAAATTCTGCTATATTTCTTAAATGAAGCATGCATTTATACACTTGTCAACATGAAATTGCAATGCCATGAATGAAAAGGTGAAGTGATGAAACATAGAGAAATAGTAGAGGTAGTGAAAATATGGAAATGATATCAAAATTTATTCAATATCTTGTATTCATTTTTTTTTAACTTGCATAACAAGGATGTGCACTGTGTACAGCAACATGCACAACTATATACCTTAGCATACTAGCAAGAGTTATTGTTGGTTGTTTGAGGAATGTTGTCATGCTGCATCCCCTTGGGCATGTAAAACATTAAAGTTGGCAGATGGTAACTCTCTTTGCAATTGCCAACTGATGATATCCCACATATACTCTATGGGTGACAAGTCTGGAGATACAGCATCGCCTATTGTGTGTCCAGACTTGTCATTTGCACATGGCAGATGTCAAGTCCATGCAGACTATTCGTGGTAACACAAGCAACATGTAACCTGGCATTTTCATATTGAAAAATAGTAGACACTTTGCAGTAATGGTCATAACATTGGCCATATGTTTTTGTTATGAGGCCAAATCAACATATTATTTGCCTGTCAATGTCTGCAAGATGTGGGCAAAAGCTACCAAACACTGTATCACCCCAGATCATAATGCCAGAGGTGTTACTGCTGTGACATTCCCTTATGAAAGCATATTTATGGTGTTGGAGACATCTTCACATAATTATGTGGTTTGTTATATCCAAGATTCATCACTAAACAAAGTATTTCCATTGCTATCATGATCTGCAGCTAGGTCTCATTATGATGATGTGAACTTAATGGAATACTTGAAGCTGAACTTCTGGTTTGAAGACCAACATCATACAAATGTCTCCTAATATTTTGCAGACATCATTGAACTTTCTGTATGCAAGAACAAAAATTTAATCACTTGTAGCAAAGTGGTCATTCACTGCCATTGTCATGACATGATGATCATCCATACAGAAGTTGTTGCTTTGCTCAATTTCTCATTGTTATTTGTTGGTGTCCTTGTAACCGTTGTTTTATGTAATGTTAAATAGTGTTCCTGTTCCACCCACATGCATTATGATAGTTTGTAGGAACAAACCAATGTCTGCAGTTCAAGGATTGTGTTCTCACTATCCAACAATTAGCAATATCCCACACGTCCTTGTAAATGAGAGATTCTACCACACTACTTTCTTTACTCTCATGTTTCATGTGATGATGATAAACTATCTGCCATGAAAATGTTTATACCTTTAAAACTTCTCTCATGGATCTGTGGTTGGAGCAAAATAGTTTATTTATAATTAACAGTAACAAATTTTTATTTTGTTTAAAAATAGTAGCTGTTACTAATGTTATGCACTGGCTTTAAAATCATCAATGGATTGATGGTTACCTCTGGCCATAGTCTAGTTAATTTGTTTTATTTTTGACTCTTTTCATCCTGTGGTCACTGAGAGGGCTTCTTTTTAATCGTGTCCATCAAGAGTTTGGCCAAGCCTACAGTGGCCAGATGATGAGGATTGAGGCCTGAATTCCCAGGTCAGATCATCCATAAAAATACTCAGAACAGTTTCTCCCAACTTGGCAGGGACTAATGTACTATCAAATCTTTTTCTACAATTTGCGGTTCTGAATGTTCTCCAGTTGTTACTTATACAGTAATGAACAACAGTTGACTTACTTTGTATTGACTGTTGTTTTCATTTTATAATAACAATCTGTTTTTTTAATAACAGTTGAAAAATAAAAGATTGTTAATTAATAATCCATCATTTGTTGGAGTTACATATGCAGATCCATTTGATCATTTACATATCTTATTCATACCTCCTATTCTCCTGTTTGCATCTTCTACAGCTCTTCTTTCGTGATATTGCAATATTACTGTTTATGGGTGTATATAAATAAATCAGTCAAACTATGATTCTGCATGTTATTTCTATATGTTTGTAATTGATTATTGATTAGCAGAAAACTGTCTTAATAATTAAAAAGTTTTCATTAATTAATACTACACTAAAATATATACAGTTGAAACATATTAATACTAATGTAATATTAGATACTATTAATATTAAATTAATTTGCAGAATGAATGGATAATCTTTTCATTTCAAAGCAAATGAAACATTTTCCATATTGTCACAATATCTTTAATACCCATGAAAAATATATTAACATCTCTGTTTATATTTGACAAACATCATACACTATCCTCTACATTGAAAAAATTAATTATTACAAGACAGTATTTTCAGCTATTTTTAAAATACCTTTGAGTACTTACTGTTTATAACTAATTTGCATTCTACAGTTATTTGGATTTAAATTTTATTTCTTTTATTTTAATTAGGTAAAACTTATAATACATTTTATTATTTCTAATTAATAAAACAAAATTTTTATTGTCATAAAGATTGTAATTTAGATAAAGTATTTGTGTATAGTTGATTTTTGTTTGTTTTGATGATGATTACAAAATTCTTTAATTTTACAGGTTACCAGACAACTGGGTTCCAGAGTCTCAGGCTTCGTCACTCTCCCATCGTATCATTCCAATCTCATCTCTACCTCGGGATGTTTTGGCCCAGCTTGACCCAACATATGCATGTCGGCCTTCCTGCTCACCGATGAAACGTAAACGCAAATGACGTCCACAGATTATAGAGCTGCCAGTCCCCAAAAGTGCCACATAGTTTGTGTTGTTCCACGCTTCCATTGCACATCATCAGCTCTCCTAATTTAATTTACACCATCATTCTTGCAGTAATTTATTTCACGACAAATTTAAGCCATAAACCCTATGCAACATGGCTGAGTACAAATACATATTCCTTGGCATTTAAATGGCTAATTGTCAATAAAAGGCATGGTTGGTAAACTGCCATATAGAATATTTTAATGAAAGAACAAGAAATGTGGCATGCCTAGTGCCTTTTCTTTTTCTCTTGTGAAAGGTTGGAGTCTAAAGTAGGCCAAAATTTTAAATCTGATACCATCTTTACAAAGTATTTATGATCTCAAATTGATGGTAAACTGATAAATGCAGAAGGCAGACTGTTTAGACTGATCATTAAATGCACTGTGTGGATGAGGAAATATTAATAATTTGGGCTGTTCAATTTGTTTGGTCGCCTTTATAAATGGATAATCAATTACAAAGGCAAGCCTACAATTCATTGAATATATTGATATACTACCTCTAGATTACTGAAGTCTATTCCAAGTGTCATCTTGCCATGAATTATTAAACTTCTCGTTTGTGATTTTTCCCCCCTGTGATATTTGTAGTCAGCAGTCTGCCTCTTGCATAAACAGTTTGGCATTTTGGACTTCATCTAATTCACAGTTTAGTATTTTAGGATGCAATGTACAAATTGATACAGTACTTGGTTTTTTTTATCATATTTCTTTGTGATGCACCAGTAAATAGGGAACAGTAAAGCAATTTTGACATTTGTTAATTTTTATCTGATCATAAATAATCTCCATTTCAGTTTGTACATTGATATCTAGCTGCTCACTGCCAATATCAGAGAAAGTTTAACAATTGCCAAGGACACTGCAGATACAGCCATGTTGTTTAAGGGATGGTAACCTCTCATGGTGTGCGTATATAAGTATGAATGGGCATATTATGTATAAATGGATTGTTAATACTGTAGTATTTTGCATGAATGAAAGCAACAACACTGCCAGTATGTATCACTGTAGCTTAATAAAAATATAATTTAGAGATCTCATGATAGACACTGTGGCACTATGACATGGACATACCAAGTGACACCCGAACTAATGAACCATACAAACAGAGGAGTTAAAAGCAAATGGGTGTCTAAATTTGGTGAAGTCAAAAGCCTCGAGAAATATTGAAAAGAAGAATATTGATAGGTGGTGGTGAGATCTCAGCAGTGAAGAAAAAATTAGCTACAGTATCCAAAGAGACACTGCCATTAATTTACACCACCCCTCAGGGAAGGTGTCCCAGATAATAGTTCTGGGTTTCATTTTTGTGTAATTTCCTTTTTACTGCAATACTGTTAGATAACCCTTGTTAATAGCATGTCCTCTTATTTCCCTGTGTTGTGATTGTATCAATGTTTACAGAATTGCACAGAATACAGGATGGTCTTTTTAAATCACCTACCACAGTTAATTTCTTAAAAAAGATAAATGATAAACAAAATAGTATGGAACACGTTGAAAAATTTCAGTTAATAACTTCAAAACAATCTTCAAAAATCTAATTATGTAAATACTTCAATATATATGTTTAGTGAATATTGTGTTCCTTTGTAGATTATATAAATAACCATTAGGAATTCATGTGAAAACTTTAATAGGTAATTTTTCTGTATTTATCATATTATGATTCCATTTGATTGCCATGAGATTATAATTATTATTATTATTATTATTATTATAATTATTATTATTATTTTTTTTTTTTGCATTTATGAGGTGATCTAAATTGGCAGTCCTGACTGAACATTTCTGACTTCCAGGTCATGTATCTGGTCAATAAAAGACAAGATTTTTCCAATGGAGGTCACTAGTCATGTTTTAATTTTAGAATTTGTTTTGACATATACTGATTTTAAAAATATAATTGGTAATAGCAGCAAGAATATATCAGGGAACTAGTAACAGACCAAATATCATTTTAATTTTTTTTTCTCTTTTCCTTGATAAAATGTTCTCACATTATCAGTATTTTCCATGTTGGAAAACAAAATTTGAAATGTGTAAAGACTTATTTTAATTGTGTGACTATTAATAATTATTGATGGCTGCCTTTCATGAAAATTTAAAATTATATTTAAAAAAATGAATAAATTATAATATTAGTAATTCCAGTCAGGCATAACTTAAAGATAAAAAAAATTGTAACCAATATAATTGAAACTAAGATATTTTATGTAAAATTTTATTTATTATTATTTTTTATCAAACTATACAAATGTCTTTTATTTGCTATTCTTCAATTAGTTTGATATGAGGGACCATAAATTCCTCATTCATGAGGATTATGATATTAAAAAAAAGTACACTAAATGTTGAACTGCCAATGTCAAACTTGAAAATGGACAGTATTGTTTAAAAAAATTCTCTATTCGAATATCATCATATTCTTCAGAAAGATTGTGTTTTCACTACTTTAAAATCACAGGATTTGACTCAAAAAATCTTTCACTAGCCATTTCCTTTCATCGTTGATGCAATTAGCACTTTTAGAACCAAAGTATAATGAAGTAAAGGTATCTTTTTTTTTTTTTTTTTTTTTACTAAAAGATACTAATTCCATTGGCTAGGTGTATTCTGTCCATGTTACTGCCTTTATGCTCACAATAGTGGGTTTGTTGCAACATCTGAATTTGTATTACTCTGTTTGGCATATATTCATGTAAATTTAAAATGAAAAAAAAAAGATTAAAAAATTAAGTGTGGCAAGAAGTTTGAAAGAAAGTAAACAGCACATGACAGTATACTTTTATGTAGAAAATATTAAAAAAAAAACTAAATTGTATTTTCAGTAATTTTCATTAAATTATGTAAAACTTAAATGGACAATTTCAAAAAATAAATAAATATTTCATATTTACTTAAACAATATATTATTCTAAGAAAGAAAGAAAAATGTATATAAATATACCTGTTAATCTGTAAAGTAGAATATACCAGAGAAAGGATAGTCCAGGTGTGAAAAATGTATTGTGAGTTCCTGGACGATGATTGTAAAAATAAAAATGACTGCCTGTCATGTGCTGAAGAAATGGGAATTTTGCTCTGCAAGGCTGCAGGGGTGGTGTACAATATTTGTACCTGACAGTCTCCTGTTAGACTGTTGGCCATCTCCAGGTTCACCAGATGAGGGACCTGCTATTTTTTGAGTGTGTGTAAATATCTGGTCACTCTTTTTTTCCGTTTGTTCTTGTAATAGTAAACTGAGATGGTCAGATGTTGGAGGTTTTTTTTATGTTTTGTGAAAAATATTAATTTTTTTCATGTTGTAACCCACATAAAAAAGTGTAGAGTGTCAACTTGCCAAATTAAAATTGTGGTTTGAGGACATTTGATATTTGTTTTATATCTGGCTTTTGTCACTAACAAGAGAGATAATCGGGTCTTATTACAAATAATTAAATATAATTTAAATTATTATAAGAGAAATATACACTTCATAAATTATTGATAGCAGTTATACAAGTAAATTTTTAAAAATTAATTTTATAGGAAAAACTATAAATTAAAATTCTGAATATTGTAAATAAATATAAATGTATTTATATATGTACAAAGCTAAAACATGTATAAATGTATTTATATATGTACAAAGCTAAAACATGTATAAATGTATTTATATGTGTACAAAGCTAAAACAATATTTTTAGGAAGTTTTCTAGAAAGAGAGAATTTTAAAGTATGTAGATAATTGTTTATAGTTTCCATGGTTAAATTTACATTTAAATAATTAGTTTGTAATTAAATTTATAAAGAGAGAGGCAATTAGTAAAGATTTAAAAATTTCATTGTTCCGTAATTAAGAATGTTTCTTTCAGATGCTAAATAGAAATTGGTGCAGACAATTTCTATTTCTAATAAACATTGTTTTTTAGGAAATTTTGTAAATAATTTAGAAATATATTACTTAAAATTTATTTATACAGAAAATTTTGAAACAGTATATAGTGCATATATAAATTTCTCAGAAAAACGTTAAATTCAATGTTTAATCAAGAAATTTGTAAGCATGCAACAAACTGTGAAGAACAGAAAATAATTTTTTTAATTTATTTTTCACATAATTGTAACTATATATATGTTTATGTTATATAAATATATATATACATACAGTATGTGCATACAAATAAATCTTTCCTTTTTTTTAATTAGAAAACTATTCTTAAAATAGTTTATATTTCAATAAAGATATGAGTGAAAATAATATTTTGAATTTCTTTGTTTAAAAACAGTGAAAATATTTAAAATTTTCATTTTATGTAGATTCAGAAATAAATAAATTGAACTGATGAAACAAATCATCATTTATTTTATATGATCTTTTCTAAACATCAAATATATAACAACTTTTTCTGAACTTGCAGTAGTACTGGAAAATGGCTATAATCTGGGAAGTTGCCAAAAGTCTACCAAATATTTTTTCTTGACTATCTACTTTGTTGCATTTTTGTTTCACTTACATTTGTGGCTAGAAAATAGAAGAGCATCAAACATTTAAGTGTTTATTTTACTGTCCTAAGTAATGTTTACTCAGCAACAACAACATTTCAACAAAATGCAAGTTGCACTTGGATGAATTTTGTGGCAGTGCCATGAAGATTTATATGAGACATATCAGTGATGCACTGCCATATCATATTGTTGCTCAATGGGTTGAAGCCTTTTGCTATGACAGGAGAGCAATGAGATTATGCATGGTGATGGCAATTCAATCACTGCAATAATGAACATATAAAACTATTTTGAGGTTATTGGAAAATGATTTTCAATAAATTTGCCAAGAAATAAATGCCAAAGTAGGAATTGCAGTTTCCAATGGGTGCCTCATGCTACAAAATGATGTGCAGAAATGGCAACAAATTGAAACTACTTGAATTCATATAGAGAATTACAAGCATGTAGGAGAATCCTTCCTTCATCAGATTATTGAAATTGACAAAATGTAGGCCAGGTCCTACAAACTAAAGTTGAAACACCAATCAAATGAGTGATAGTGCCAATCATCTTCATGCCTAAGAAACTGGCCAGAACCAAGTAAAGTTAGTGTTAATGATCATTGTAATAAATTTCCAAGAGGTCCACTTGTCTCTGTGTGAGACAGTAGGACAGACAGTTAATTAAAACTAAATACAGTAAACTCCCGATTATCCGGGCTAATGGTGGGGAGAGGTGGCATAGATAATCCGAACTATAATTATTTATTTCTAAAATACAACATGTAGATTCACCTTTTTCAAAGTTTTCAATTAACATTAGTTTTTGTTTTATAGTAAGTATGGCTTTCTTTCGATTATTAGGCATTTTAAGGGTACTTATCTGAAAATTAAAAAAACATCTTATTTTATATAATTTTACACTAAAAGTATTTGTGGAAGAGTTATTTGAAAAAATATTATGTATAATATGTATTATACATATGTACATATAATCAAATCTTAAATTGTAATACATATTATAACATGCAAGTAAACGAAACTTTGTATAAATGTACTCACTATCGTTTTCTTCTCTGAAAAGAAACGTCCGGCGCGAAGGAAGCGGCCTAACTAAAACCAGTCCAGCTGACTTCAGATACCCCCCACCTGCTTCAAACATCTAAATACGAACACGTGCACACTTATAGGATATGTAAACATGAAAGCAAGCAACTATTTAAAAAATACATACAAATATAATTATTTTTTAAAAATTAAGTTCATGCACGGATAATCCACAAACCAGATAATCCGTGCACAGATAATTGGGAGTTTACTGTACTTCTTCCACTTCCTTTCCTTTTGACATCATCTTTATCCAGCAAATTCTCACAAAAGGACCCAGTTGCTATAATCGCATTAGGGCATCCAATTAACTTGCATGACAATGTGTGAAGTCATTCTCTATTACAAATGAGAACACTGCTCAGCATATGGAAGTGGGAGATACCATTTCCATCTAGTTAACAATGTCCTTTTTAGTATACTCATAAATGATAAACCAAAAGAAAACCATTCCATCACACCAGGAATCTACTCTATCCCACTGAAATGTCTTCATGGGAGTCACCTACCATACTTATCTGATATGAGTGCATGTGATGATCTTTTCTCAGAACTGAAAGAACTTCATAAGCAAGTGTTTCTGAGACATTGACAGTATCCTTTCTACCTGAAGGTATCATCTTCAGATACTGGCTAAAAATGATGATGCTGATGGTGTTTGCTGCCTCCCGTAAGTTTGGCAGGGTTTGTCCATAAAGGTGGATACTTTCATCAAAGGACTGTGACATTCGCATATTTTATTTTTGAATTAATATGTTACAACACTTGCCAATGCAAATAAAATAACTCTTGTATAATCATGAGTTATTTGTTATTTATAATATGAATATATCTTTGACATTAAATACAGGTGTATTAAAAGTTTTGCATTTAAATATATATTATGTTTACACTGCTGGCCATTAAAATTGCAACACCAAGAAGGAAAGCAAATAAAAAAAAGATATTTATTGTACATAAACAGTATGGCATGAAGACAAAATGATTAAATTTGCAAGCCGTTTGAGGGTTTACAGGGGTGCGAAATTAGTAGACACAGTTGCCACCCCTGGCAGCTAAAACGGCCCTTATCCGGTTAGGCATGGAGTCAAACTGGGCTTGGATGACAGAAATGGGCAACTTATTCCATGCTGCTTCAAGTCTATGCTACGCTTCATTGACTGTATTAGCAGGAGAGGGGTGGCGGATCAGTCTCTCAGCAACCCATGACCAGATGTTTTCAATTGGTGAGAGATCTGGAGACCGTGCAGGCCAGGGCAACAATCGAATACCCTCTGTATTGAGGAAGGTCAGAACACGACGTGCAACATGAGGTCTTGCATTATCTTGTTGGAAGATGGCGTTTCGCAGGCCTCGAAGATAGGGCACAACCACTGGACGTAAGATGTCAGAAATGTACCGATCTGCATTCAAATTACCGTCGATCCGAACTAGAGATGTGCGTGTAATGTACCCAATGGCTGCCCATATCATCACACCAGGTGCAGGGCTCCTATGCCAATATCAAATACAAGCAGGTAACGAGCGGTCTCCTCGGAGCCTCCAGACATGTATACAGCCATCAGAATGCTGCAAGCAGAACCGGGACTCGTCTGAAAAGACAACATTGTGCCACACCTGTATCCAGCTTTGTCGTTGGGCGCACCAGAGTCGCCGTCTCTCTCTATGCTGCATTGTCAAGGGAAGCCGAAGTAATGGTCGCCGTGCTGACAGTCCATGCTGCTGCAAACATCGTCGCACCGTACGAGCAGATACTGGACGTGCTGCAAACAAGCACATTTCCTGACTAATGGTCCATGATGTGGTTGTACGGTTTTGCACGGCCGACCTCACAATATGTCTATCCTCTTGGGCGTTAGTCATGGGAGGGCGTTGAGATCCTGCATGCCGTTCAGTAAGACCCTCAGCAACCCATCGATTCCATATTCGCATGACAGTGGTTGGATTTCGACCAGTGCGAGTGGCAATATTACGGAATGATAATCCACACTCTCGATAGGCAACAATCCTGCCTCTATCGAATTCCGACACTTGCTGGTAAGCATTTCTTCTTCTTATTCGAGGCATAACACGATATTCTGATGAAACCCCGACCTTACAAAGCGATTTCCAAATGAGAAATCCACTGCACAACTTTTCTTTTATGCAGTGCTTCAGATGTCGTTTGTCACTCCTGCGTCGTCTAAATATGCTGAAATACTAATCATTTGCATATTCCAACCTCTTCTTCCTTTCATATGATTTTGACGTTCGTACGATCATTCCTTCCTGGTGTTGCAATTTTAATGGCCAGCAGTGTATTTTTAAAGTGCTTTTAAGTATAGGTATTGATTTGAACTGGTTTAAGCATGGCTTTTTTCTTGGTTGCAATAGTAGTATGAAAAGTCTGGATAAGTTCCATCTTTTTGTCTGATAGTGCAAGTGTAATAATTTTTGTATTTAAAATTCAGTATTTGTAATTTTAGTATTTGCAATATTTACATGAACATTGTAGAATGATAGCTGCAAATAACTTGTGAAGTGTATTGTACACATGCTTCGTCACAAGAAGCCAGGGTACATGTAACCCATGAAATTTCAGTGGATAGGAAAAATTGGGGTTTCTGTGTTCTACACATAGACACCTAAGATAATACATAAGAGAAAACAATACAAAAAAGTTTTAAAATTTTTTTTGCACTGAAAAGTAGAAAGTAAATTATCTTTGGCTTTCATGGTATCTTTGGTTTTATATTTTTTATTTTCCACCTTTTAGTTTATATATGTAACACTGAATTTTCAAAATTCTTG